GGCCTTTAATGTAGCCTTTTATATTACAGGGTCTACCTACCCATTATAAGCTCTTTATAGAGGCTGAAAGTATGACTCATAAGTCTGCTAAATTGTGAGCCACACAATAAAGCTTATTTGTTTGTCTGTTTGTAAATTTGTTTGTTTTTCTTGTTTGTTTGGTTGTTTTTTTCTTTCATAATTGTTTTTTGCCTCACCTGAATGTAAAGATGTTTAGCTTTAGTTAGTAAAAGAATGATATCATTTTATACTAAATTGAATAAATAAACTTTATATAAAATTTATTAGTGACATTATTTCATTAATTGTACCTTGTTGTTTTCTCTGTAGAGTTGGAGTATAAAAGCCTCCTGACAAGATTCAATGATTCTATCAATTGGAACAAATAGAGAAATCAGTGAATTCTGTTTGTAACATGGTACAAACTTGTACAAACAGTAGTTTAGTGACTAGATATAGTACAAGTTTAATCCTGGTGCATACCAAGAAAGGATTCACATACTTATGAGCACGATAAACAACAATTCCCGTCACCAGATGAATGGGCAGCTTCTTGGTCAGCATATCCACTACCAAGATTCTTGACGTGACAAACAGCACACCTCCACTAAGGTACACAGACTCTCTGCAATGAGAGCCAACAATTTATTATTCTTTTACAGTACGATCAAAATACTGGGAGACACAGTATGTACATGTATGTGATCAAAGCATTGAATCCTAGATGGAGCAGTCCAGGTTCGACACTGGTTGCCCTATGTCTAAGGCAAGGCACTTACAAGTAAACATGTATATCGGACTGACTTAGAGTATAATAATACTCTATTGTTATCTCTCTGCAAACAATTTTGGGTTTCAGGCAAATTACCGATGTTGTGGTTCAATTTTACCTTTGGTAAAATATGATTCAATATCCTTTGCTCTCATGTATCGTACTTAATATATGACAATGAAATATCAACACAATCAAACTTGTATTAGGCGGACACCCTCAGGACCTGTGCTAATGTCCGCTTAATACAGAGTGTCTGCTGAAAACAGGTTCCCTCAGAATTTGTCTTAAAAGGGTCATATTAATATTCATCAGTATTAACAGACCTTGAAAGGGTCAAATAGCATTCTCGTGAACGGTCAAGAACTCTGAAATACCGTATTTCCATAAACAATGACAAGTATATGAGGTAAAGTGATTTAAGTATACAGGAACAGTATATATGTTGATCGCATCGTGTGAAGGTTTACAAATTAAATCAACAAGAACAAAAGATCTGTAACAACAAAACCGAATAACAAAATATTGCATTTCTGTGACAGCTCAGTTTGTTGGCAAACTTAAATGACCAATCTACTAAAACATGCACAGAAAAATCATGCATTCTTTTTGCAGTGTCTGTTTGATACAGGTTTCTGACTAAATAAAACTCAAGTTTAAGGTGTCTGCATCCATTTAATAGAGGTGTCCATTGAATACAGGTATTTTCTATAATAAATGCAGGAAAATAAAATGGGACTTGTACTGCTGTCCACTTAATAGAGGGTGTCCGCTTAATATGGGGTCCGCTTAATACAAAGTTAAATACCAGAATGGGCCAAGGGTAGAAAGGAACCACCACATTTAAAGACGCGAAAATCTGACAAAATCTGACTACGTTTGTTATAAGCCTGTGATAGACTAGCATCTAATCAAGCCTGGGAGCAGCTAAATAAATGCTCTCCTCACCAATACTGCTAGCAATTTAATCTAACTTACAGTATATAGTTATTAATCATAGACATGTTGAGACACAGGGGCAAGTTTAGAGGGGATAGATTGGGTGGCTATCCACCCCCACTTTGAGGAAGCAACAAATAAAAAAAAACTGATAGCAATCCTGAATATTAGAAATAAAATAGAATGAAATAATAGCAAAAACTCTGGACAGAGAATGTCAACTTTGTGGTATTGCTAGTATTTGTGGTGTAACAGTTTTCAATTAGGTTCCAATTGTCAAATTGCCACAAGGCACCAGCCACCCCCCTCCCCTCCCCCTTGAAAAATCTTGCATCTGCCCTTGGAGGCACTGGAAACTATTCATAAATGAATGCTAGCAAATATACCTCTCAGATGAACTGAATTCAGTGGTGATCACTTTAGGCAATGGAACATCTGAAGATTTCAGTTCATCAAGTATATAGTCCTAAAAAGAAATCCATTCTTAAATTTAAAACAGGGGTTAAATCTTGAATAAAAACACTGTTTGTTATTATTCATGACTTTATTTCTTAGCTTGCATATTTGACATTACATCCTTACTCTATATCACTAAGATAACAGAGTGCAACAACAGGTTTCTCTACCAAGTGCACAACCAAAACCAATGAGGGGGGAGGGTGGGGGTACTCCCTTATCACGGCTGCACGTATATAGGTATGTGTACCCCAAAGGATATGCCCGGGGGGAATGCGNAGCAAATATACCTCTCAGATGAACTGAATTCAGTGGTGATCACTTTAGGCAATGGAACATCTGAAGATTTTAGTTCATCAAGTATATAGTCCTGAAAAGAAATCCACTCTGAAATTTAAAACAGGGATCAAATCTTCAATAAAAACACTGAATTATTCATGACTTTATTTCTTAGCCGGTATATTTGAAATGACATCCTTATTCTATATCACTAAGATAACAGAGTACAACAACAGGTTTCTCTGCCAAGTGCATGACCAAAACCAATGAGGGGGAAGGGTGGGGGTACTCCCTTATCACGGCTATATAGGCATGTGTACCCCAAAGGACATGCCCGGGGGGAATGCACAGGTGGGGGAGGTGGGTTGAGGCAGAACTCCTGCTAGCTGCTGTTGTGCTTTAAGAACTCAAAACAACCGCTTGAATACATCTCAAAAAAAAGGAAAATGACACCTACTTCTTCTTTATCTGTTGTGTTGATAACTAGGATTAAGGAAATCGATGACGGATCGCTTGTAACACAGTGGATCTTCAGAAAGTTTGTGACCACTCTCTCTATGCTCAACCCCCTATAAACCAGAATCAGCCAAAATTGAAGTGAAAACAAATAGTAGATAGATCGCTCGAGTGCTTATTCACTTACTTAGCGGTGACAAACAAGCCATCGTCATCCATAAGCTCGAGAAACATCGCGTTTTCGTATTCAGAAAGTGCCGCCATTTTGAAGAGTGTCTTTGCAAAAATTACCGCTGACCTCATCCAAATTAGTCCCAGGAGCACTCGACCCTGAACTAAAGGCGCTCCTATTTGCCTCTAAAATCTTTAAGCAACCGGAACGATGATCCCGCTGGTATACGTTGGATCAATAGTGATCTAATCGGCTTCACATATAAAATGAAGAATACAAAAGCAAAAACTGACACAACGTAGGATGACTTTTTGAAGGTGTACTATATTTCGGCTGGCCAAACCAGCCTTCTTCAGGTACAATGGAAATTTTTACATTGGGACGCGTTTTTATGTAGCCGATATTTACGTAATACCGGAAATACGTAAAAGTAATCGACAGTGTAAAGAAGGCACTCGATCAGACTCAGGTTGAAGAATGAATACCTAACTCACAAGTTCCTTTTAGTTTACCTTGTAAGGCTGGTTTCACTGGTAACGGAGTCGTAGTTACGGCTTTCCACAAGTTGCTCGAGATTTCCCAAAAATTTGCCCGCAATTTCTCAAAAAGTTGCTCAAAAGTTGATCGGAAAAAGTCAAAAGTTGTTTTTTGTAACGAAAGTTGAATTGCCTAAAAGTTGCTGCAAAAAAAGAAAAAAGAAAGGAAAAATTCTGAAAACTACACGGTCGGAGATGGAAGCAGAAGGGGAAGAACAAACCAATCAAAATGCTCAAATCCGGTCGTTTTTTTATTTATTTATTTTTTGTAATTATTTTTATTTTTTATTTATTTTTTTATTTTTTTTTTATTGCACTTATAATACAGTACAATATGACACACAGCTTAACTATACTTAAACATACTTCTAATAATACTTTACTTACAGATACCGAATTACAGTATGTTGCTTACATTAGATTAGTTACAATAAGTTACATGACTAAACGTGCACTATATACACGTAAATTACTTACAATACATTACTCACAGAAAACTACTTACAATACGTTACATACAATAGAGTAAGAAAAAAAGAAAAGAAAAAAAGAAGATGCTCGAGGGATTCAACTTTCTTCTTACAAAAATTGCATAAAGGTGAAACAATTGTTATAACTCTGAAAAGCATTTCATTTGTAAATATGATATCATTCAAAAGCTTATATTGAAATTCCCGCAGCTTTGTCTCTATTGTGAAAACAAATGGCAAGGAATAGATCTTTGTTCATTCTACCGCTAGCTCGGGATATTTATTTTG